ACGTGGGAAATTGTCAATCTTTTATTTCGCCAAAATAAATCCGAAACATCCTTTACAGGATCAAAACTATTTTTTAATTTGCTAAAACCAAATTTTGAAAAATAAAAACAAAATTTTGCGGTCAATTAAGAGAAACTGTTGCGCATGATTAAAAACAGGCGCCAACGGAAGACTTTTGTTCAATCTTCCTTTCAAATGCAAATCTTATTTATCCCACTTCCGCTCCCAAGTTGTATGTATATATATGTATTGGTCCTGAACAAAATATCTCTTAAGGAAGTCGACTTCCTTCTATACGCAAACTTCTGGTTAATTCTTTTTTTGGCAAAAACTTATTATATAAAAATTATATGAAAATTTACATCTGAATCAAATGCCGGTATCATATCAAGAGACAAGTGCATAAAAATATCAATTGAGAATGACAACCCCAATTATAAATCCTAGGATTCTTCAAAGGGTCTTATATAATAATAATAATAAAAAATTCTATACGGATTATTTCACTACGAGAGATATACACCACAAAAGAGGACCTTGAGTTTTTAACTTTACTTCTCAGGACTATCAGTTACAAGAAAATCAAATGTGTATTTCATTACAATATGTTCGAGAAAGATACTTCTGTGAAAAATAAGCAAAGAAACTGTTTACAAAAATGTCATCTTCAAATATAACTGTCACACATAATTTTGACCCACCCAGAAACTGTTTTTTAGGTGAAACAATTTTTTTTTAAGATTCAAATATGGATCAAATTTTCCTAGAATTATAATTTTGAAAGTGTATTTTCTACAGACGCACTTCCATACTAAAGATTCTACAACATAATTTGTTAGGACGTTTACAAATACTGAAAAAACCATCAGTACCGAAAAAGGTAGAACCATTTAAAAAATTCCAATTCCTTTATAAAATGCCCAATTTCCCATAAGCAAAATCAAACATTTTTCAATTTATAAACATTCCTCATCTCCCTAAAGTGATTGAAAATGCCACTGAATATAATGTCACTAAGACGATAAATCTTTAATCCAAGAGAATGTAGTTTCCGTAAACCTTCTACCTGCTGCGAGTATTTTAATGGTTCCCTAACGCCTTCCATTTACCAAATGCAAATAAACTCGTAAGTATAATTATCCTCAAACCCCAAAAACGCCCAGAAATTCAACAAGAGTTGCAAAAATTGAATCAGAGTACAAATATAAATATAACAAAGTTGGCAAAACGGATGTCATTCTAGATGGACCACCTACATGGGAAAAATCATCTATAGAAAAATTTTCTAGCTCTTCTATATACATATATAATGTATACATAGCTTTTCAAATGAAGACCACAAAATTGAAACGTCGCGAGCGATCCCTTATACATATCTATTTTCAAAAGTCACTATGAATGGAATAATAAATCTTGCGGTTAAAGGGTTCCTAAAAATTTACATTGCTCTATAAGATGTACCGTACATCCTGAGACCTAAAATTTCTCTCTCTTGTAAAGTTCTGTGTAATTCTATTTTGTGGGAAAAAAGGAGCGAATCGAAATTTAACTACTTTGGTGACAATATAACAGAAATCGAATAAACGACTCTATAAAATATGTTCCCTTTTTTTGGACACAAGTTCATGGAAATCAAGATCAAAGGCATAAAGAATTTTACAATTCAAAAACAGGAAATCCTTTGTCATTTTATTTTCATTAGAATTAAATTTACATTTTTAAAAGCATAGAAACATCCTTAATTGAAAATTAAGTTTTACTACTAAAAAAATACTGTCAACATATCGATAAGATAAGAAACTTTTTTTTTGAAAAGAAGAAAATTTCGCACGCAGTTGAGAATATGAACCAGCTTTTTTAAATCTCTAGACAGGATAACCTTACAAACCAAAAAACCCACCCTGATGGTTGAAGGAATCTTTATTCTTCGTTCCCAAGGGGTTGAATACTGTCGGCACAAATATATATATATATATATATATATATATATATAATGCATTTGGTTATACACCGTGTCGCGCGCGCACCTTGTTCTCATTCTAACAATCGTCGACTTTGTTGTGATAATCTTGCATTGTTACCTGTTCAAAAAGGGAGCACGAGCGCCGCTTTCATTGTTTCCGAATGATTCGAGGATCGCGAACGCATTTTTTCAATAGAAACCGTCTCAGAATCAAAAAATACTTCATTCCCATAGACTTCATTCAGGTACGAATTATATTGTTGTGCGTGTGTGTATATATAAAATCCAACGTAAATTCCACAAATTCTTTCATTTTTTTTTCATTCTTCGCATTTCTACAAAAAAAAAAATAAGAATTATTGATGCAGAAGATACATCAGCTTTTATAAAAATACAACTGACTTTCTTTTTTTCAATAACTGATACTTGTTACGGAATTTAATACTGATTTTTCATTGCTAGTACAACTGGTATCCGAAATAATTTTATGAACGCTACGGATGATAATAATTTTCTATAAATGTTGTTACAGAATTTAGTGCTACATTTTCAAGTACAACTAGCTTCCGAAATAATTTTTTGAACCCTACAGATTAAGTTTCTATAACTGTTGTTACGGAATTTAATACTAATTTTTCATGACTAGTTTCCGAAATAATTTTTTGAACCCTACAGATTAATTTTCCATAAATGTTGTTACAGAATTTAGTGCTACATTTTCAAGTACAACTAGTTTCCGAATTAATTTTTTGAACCCTACAGATTAAGTTTCTATAATTGTTGTTACGGAATTTAATACTAATTTTTCATGACTAGTTTCCGAAATAATTTTTTGAACCCTACAGATTATAATTTTCTATAACTGTTGTTACAGAATTTAATACTAATTTTTCATGACTAGTACAACTACTATCCGAAATAATTTTTTAAACACTACAGATAATAATAATTTTCTACAACTGTTACGGAATTTAATACTAATTTTTCATGACCAGTACAACTAGTTTCCGAAATAATTTTTTGAACCCTACAGATTAAGTTTCTATAACTGTTGTTACGGAATTTAATACTAATTTTTCATGACTAGTACAACTAGTTTCCGAAATAATTTTTTCAACCCTATAGATTAATTTTCTATAACTGTTGTTACAGAATTTAATACTATTTTTTCATAACTAGTACAACTACTATCCGAAATAATTTTTTAAACACTACAGATAATAATAATTTTCTACAACTGTTACGGAATTTAATACTAATTTTTCATGACTAGTACAACTAGTTTCCGAAATAATTTTTTCAACCCTACAGATTAATTTTCTATAACTGTTGTTACAGAATTTAATACTAATTTTTCATGACTAGTACAACTAGTTTCCGAAATAATTTTTTGAACCCTACAGATTAATTATCTATAACTGTTGTTACAGAATTTAATACTATTTTTTCATGACTAGTGCAACTACTATCCGAAACAATTTTTTAAACACTACAGATAATAATAATTTTCTACAACTGTTACGGAATTTAATACTAATTTTTTACTACCAGAGTACAACCACTTTCCGAAACAATTTTTCGAACCCTATACAGATGATAAAGATGTGCTTCAAGGAGGTCTTTCTTTTTCTAGATTTCCAACATCTTTTCCGTACTGTACCTGTCAATACACTATTTCATACACATTGATGTACATGGGAATTCGACCCAAGATATATCTATTGTCCCTCATTTGTGGTATCTGAAAATGTATGTATTCGTCTTTGATCCCCTTTCCCGCGGGGGTGTGGGATGAAGAAGCCACCCTCGCTCATTCACCAAAGATTCCAAGAAAAAAAAAAACATTGAAGTGAACCATAATAAACTAAAAGAAGCTTTCTTCTTCGCGGAATACATATACAACGTAGATTCGGCAGGCGCCATGGATCCCATAAAAACGATCAGCTTCGGTTATAAGACCACGAGGAATGTGACGGTTTTTTCTCTTTTTTTTGTAAAAATCTCTCGTTCAATTCAATTTTATTTCGTTTGCCTCAAAAAAAATTTTCTGACCGACGCCAACGACCTCTCACACATATGGGACACATTTTGAATCGCACGTGCAGTCTACAATATATAATGTACCGTAAACTAAACCATTCAAGTGTGTGGGATCATTTCCCTATTGAAAATTGAAAACGGCTCTATCACATTGAGATCATTCAAGAAGTGATGTTGCCGGAAGATGAGCTTCATCTTTTCCCATGAATACTTGGAATATTGTCGGCAATCTAAATGAAATCGGAAGGATTAAAGGATGAACACACAACTTCCTACAACCCTTTCTTTTTTCTGCGACCTGTGGGAATTATTTTTTTTTTTTTTGGTGTACCACCTTTGTGGGAATAAAGAAAGGACAATGGAACGACAATTACAAAAAGCAATTGTTAATTAATTTCATCTTTACTAGTTCTTATCGATACGATTTAAAAATATTAATCTCTACAAAATCTTATTTATAATTTATTCTGTTGAGTTTATGTTTCCTAACGGATTTTTGCTTTATATAACAATACGATTACTGAATTGTCGAATCGAGAAAGGATTCGAAAAACTTTTACGACAGCTACGTGCATTTTTTGGAGGGTGTTTTATGACAAGATTTATAAAACGAGATCCTAAATTTTATGCTGTTGAAAAATAGTCTGAGATACAATATAAAAGGTATATATATATATTCAAGTGATTTTTCAATGTCCTCTCAAAAAGAAAATGTTTCCGGATGCACTAAAAATGTCAAAAAAATTTTACCGGAAAAGGAATTTCTTTTTTCCCCGCACATGAATTTTATGATGTTTAAAATAGCTACACACATATACCTCATATACCTCTTAAAAAGTTGATTAAGTGTCGGGGAAGTAAGCTCACCGCAATTCACACATTTTAACATCACGAAACAAAAGTCTCAATTTTCGTTTCAAACGAAATAATAACAAAAAAAACGAATTTCGAAATTAAAAATTTTAAATAAATAAAATACTGATTTACAGGTACTCACTCTTTGCTGCTCGATAACTCCTTTGCGTCTGTGTATTTCTTCTTCACCAATTCTAAAAAGAAAAATAAAATTTTTAAAAATATAACTTATGGATTATAAATATCCATTTCTTAACTAAATTCCCAAATTTTTTTTTTGGGTCTACAATACAATTTTGTTGGTATTTAAAGAACCGAACCAAAGGTTAGAGGATAACAAATTTGGTTTAAGACCAAACTATTTTGTTGTGCTAACGAAATGGTTTGGAATTTAAAAATGTTTAACCAAATAACTTTGTTTCAACCAATCAAAATTTGATTACAACCTCGGTTACAACCAAAATTTGCCTAACCTAATAATGCAATTAAAAAAATCCTTTCTTTTCTGTAGGCAAAATTGAATTCTTTTTTGAATCATGAATTTTATTAGGATTTAGAAATGACCATTTGGAAAAATAATAGCGAACCCTTTGCACCAATAAATCTGTTTCCTATACCCATATGTATTTCTGAATAGAAGTTTGAATTGTGGACAAACGTCGATATATATATATATATATAGTTCTCCGTTAGTTTTGTTCTCTCTGATTAAGGACTGCATATATATAGATGAATCGTGACGGAATATACAACCCTCGATCAGAGGGTTGTAGGGAAAATAATATTATTGGCACGTACATGGTACATGCACTATGTGCACAAGGGGGTTGAAAACGTTATAGCTGATAGGGGAGAGATACGGGAGTAGCAGCAGCTGGTCTAGTGCGTGATTCATAAAATGCCCACACATTTTATCATCAATCCTCTACATACGTGCGCACCTACGAATTCGTATATTACAAGCCAATAGGGTTCAAAAACTGTTATATCGATTAAAATAGGGAAAGAGAGAGAGAGACGAATTATCTGCGGGTGCGTCTTCCAATTTCACTCCTATTCCGAAATTCGGCTGAAATTATTTTATCCGAATGAGAAAATTCCGTTAGTAAGGTAACTAATTAGTTATTCCCAACAAATTAATTAGTTAAACCAACTAATAAAATAGTTACGCCTACCATAAAAAAATTACTTTACTAACTAAAATTGACACAGAAAATTAAAAGGCATTAAAATAATCTGCAACGCTTCTTATTTTAATCCAATTTTGCTTATTTTAATCCATTTTGGTATTAAAATAATTAAAATTGGATTAAAATAATAAGCGTTGCAGCTTATTTTAATGCCTTTTAATTTTCTGTGGAAATCCCAACCAATCTTTTCTCTCATTGCAGAGAGGTTAGGTTATAAATATTAGATATTAGGTTTTAAATTAATAATTTAAAATAAAGTATATATTCGACTCTTTAATAGAATTGAGCCCTCATATAAATTGTCATGGAAAATTGAAGGGTTTTAGGCAAAAATTCACTTCCAATTTATTTTCATACAAAAGCATATCTTTTGTTGGGTGCGCTCTCACTGAACAAAAATCTACGCTCGTATGTGATTTGCGTGAATGATGAATATCATTATGCGGGCATCACGTGTTAGCGCACGCACACGAACAAAATCGCTCTCATCAGTTCCGATTATATTTGTACAGCCGATGGACCAAAATCTCTTTGTTCATCTTACGTAACTTATCTCAATATCATCCTAATTATATAGGATTCTCCAATTCTATTTAATTTTCAAAATAGACTAATAAAAATTACTATCATAAAATGAAATCTTTTCCAAAAAACTATATAAGAAAAAAAAGCACCTGGCTTTTTCTTTTTCCGAAACACTTCTTGGAACGTAAAATACACCCACTTAAATATTAAAAAAAGAGAATTTGACTAGCGCCTAAAATTTAGAGGACCATCTGTTCGAATCTTGACGACGTTCCGAGATAAATTTTTTCACCTTTTGGCACGCGTCGTCGACTAAAGTAATAAACATACACTATAATGTTCGTGTATAACAGGTGGTACCCTATGCCATATAAAAAAGATAAAGTTACAACCCGCCCTAAAATGTTGGTCCAGTTCCTCTATTTTCATTTTTCCACGAAATTCAAAGATCCAAAATCAATTTATACAATCATTTTTAAGATTAAATTATTATTTTTCGTTTATCAAAAAAAAAAAAACTTGTAACGATAGGAGATAAATCTTATGTGCGCGCAGCATCCTTATCGGTTTCCGCCAGGTAAAACGTCGAAAAAAAAAAGATTTCGATTCTTTGTACCTTTCTTCCTAGAAACAAGGTTTAGGATCGAAGAAAAGACCAAAAGAGCGTGAGACGTTCACTGCGTATGAACTTCCTTCGTGAATTTGACCCTTATTTTTTAAAAGCTTTGTATAACCCTCTCTGGTACGTTTCTTTCTAAGCTTTTTTTACAAGTTGTCCAACGAAAACAAGTCGAACGAGTTAAGGAAGAAGTCATATATACTGTTCTAGATTTGTTTTATATATATATATATATAAAAAAAAAGAAAGAGTGTTCGGTAGTGACCCAAAAAATTTAAAAAGTTCTAGTATATATCAAGAAATACTTGAAAGACAGGATAACGATTTCCCATCTGACAAAGTTCCCGGGAATTGATCACTGGAAACTTTTGCAAAAATTCCTGTTTGAAATTTCGATAAATTTTTTTTTTTATACAGAGAAAATTAAAAGGCATTAAAATAAGCTGCAACGCTTATTGTTTTAATCCAATTATTGCTTATTTTAATACCAAAATGGATTAAAATATGCAAAATTGGATTAAAATAATAAGCGTTGCAGCTTAATTTAATGCCTTTTAATATTCTGTGTATTCCTTAGCATAAAAAGTCAATTTTTCAACATAAATGAATTAAAATTATTGTTTGTAATGAACAAATAGATTGCATTTCTTTAAATCAAAGAAATTTTTTCTCTGGGTGTAAACTTTTAGGTTAGGTACGTTAGGTTAAGTTAGGTTTGGCTAGGTTAAGTTATAGGTTTGGCTAGGTTAAGTTAGGTTATGTAATGTAAGGTTAGGTTTAAAGTAAGATTTTCTTTTTACTATGTGTTCTAAAAAAACTAGAAAAAAAAATTTATAAAAGCGCGTGTCGTTAATAAATCATTGAAAATTCTTTTTCCAAATGTTGAAAAGTTACTTTTTTAGCACTATAATGACTGAATAAAATTTTTTATTCTTTTTTTTCTTTTTTTGAATAAATTGCAGATGAAAAGCTATTCACCACTTGTGGCAACGTGCCATTCATAACCTGCGCGCTTTTTTTTTGGCACCGGGCACGAGACATCTGAAGAAAAAGGCCGACATTGTCAAAACAGAAAATTACACCTTAAAAAATTAAAGGGCCATTTGGAATTGAGTCCCAAGACAGATTTATGAGACTGTTTCGTATGAAAAAAAAGAAAGGTGTGAAAGGAAAAGCACACACTTCAAGAGCAACAGCAGCAGCAGCAAAACTATCATTGATTTTGTGGTTCATGAAACATCTGTTAAAAATCGAATAACGAGAGCGAGGTTTTTTTTTTTTATTTCTCCTTAAAGAAGCGTTCAATAATTATCGACTTTCACCGAAATAAAAAAAGAAAATGTCGAGGAATAATCAATTTTTACACGCAGTGAAGAAAAAAAAAGAACGTAAAAGCGTGAAAAGGACCACGAGCCATCCTTTTCAGGTGGTTTCTTTTCTCTTCTATTATATGACTCGTTACGCTTTCAAGATATGGTCGCGCGAGCCAAAATTTTAAAGAAAAGTATCAAGATTTACTGATACCTCCCAAGTTGATTTTAGCATTTTTTTTTTTTTTTGGCTTAAGAAGTACAGATAATACGGGGTTTGCAGGTATGGAATTAAAATTCAAAAATTTTGACTTCACAGAAAAAACGGATAAATTTTGTTGTGGGTAATTTTAACTAAAGGCGCTTGTACACACAGAAAATTAAAACGCAACGCTTATTATTTTAATCCAATTTTGCTTATTTTAATCCATTTTGGTATTAAAATAAGCAAAATTGGACTAAAATAATACGCGTTGCAGCTTATTTTAATACCTTATAATTTTCTGTGCACTTTCAATTCTGAATATATCAGAGTTTTGACCGATTTTAATTGGCTCTTTTAGAAATTTTCCATAACAAAGCCAATCAAAATTGGTAAAAAATCAGAAACGGAGGAGCTGTACAAGGGCCTTAATGTTAATTCACATAGACGGTCGCACCCTTAAGACCTTAACTAGGATAAAATTTTTTGCAGTTAATTTTTATACAGATTTTGGTGTAAAATTTATACTATTTTTGCGTATGTTATTCGGGATTACGTTATAAATTCTTCATGATTTTAAATCTGCACTGTAAAAAGAAAGTACTGAAACAGTACCGATTTTAGGTATCAAAATAGAACCAAATGACAATTTAGTACCTGTAGTCGGTATTAAATTAATACCTTTCGTTTTACAGTGTGGTGTATTATTATTATCATTTTGGTTTATTTATCTTATTGTTTATATTTTTCGATTATTTTGAAAAAAATTAAATTCTGCATATGAAACATATTTTGCCTTCTATTCAAAGAATGGCAACGAGAGGATGAGAAAAAATACATATGAGAAAGAATCAGAAAGAATTTTGGAGTAAAAATTTTGTTACACATGGACCAGACGAAAAAGCGCGACACACATTACTTATAAGCGAAGGTTGCGGCCCCCTGGGTACACATTGCGCGCATCATATATATATATATATATACTATATTCCAAGCATATGTGCCAGATATCACATGTGTTTCAATTTACTCCCTATAACCAGTTCCAATAGTTCCCCATCGGAAAACGTTGTTCTGAAACCTATATATTGACTACCGTGGCAATAAATTAGAAACACATTTTTAGAGTAAAAAAAAAAAATTATGTCACTCCTAAATTATTATTACCTATATTGCATTTGAAAAAAAAAATTAGTTTTTTTCTTGCCACAGAATTGAAAAATTCATAAGGTCAAATTACCATTTAATTAAATTTATTACAAAAGCAAAATTATTATTTTTATTTATCCCAACTATTTTTTCCGAAAATTGTTATACTTATATATATATGAACCATTTTTTTCATGGA